AAACTTTAATTTCTAGATTTCTTCAGTTTTTAATAGCATAATTAAACAGTTATGTTTGATATTTAATTAGGACTGGGACTTTAACGCGTTAATTAATGACATATATTAAAATGCATTAGAAATGTATATAATTATTTGCTTTTTTATTTTGAAATTTTGTATTCATGGTTTCTTGTACACCAATTTTAGACCAAAAGCAGCATCACAAGCGTTGGTCCACTGGGGGTATTTTTGCTTAAAAACCATCTCAGTGCTATTATGGTTCTGTGAATTCCTGGATGATTGCCAGTCACATCAGTCACTGGGAACTTCTCATCAAGAGAATCCCATAAAGCCAAACGTAGCTCTGTCATAGTTCTGTTGTCAATTGTAGAAATTTAACTTTACCTGCTTGTACCAGCAACACTCTTACAGGCTAAAATAAATCAATTGAGTAATTTAACCTTGTGAAAGATTGTGGTACAACTGCACTGCAATGTAATCTGGCAAACATTTTATTATACATAGAAGTCATGCAGTTTGTCAAGACATGCTAATTATCCATGGCAAATTGCAGTAAGAATTAGACTATATGAGATTCGCTGTTCCTGAGAAACAAAGAGCTGTTGACTGGATGCTGGACCCTGGATGCTGTACCAACATGAACATTGTTAAACTCGCAAGAAACAAAGAAATCAGGAGGTGGAGCAAGCTGAGTATGCATAGGTGTCTCAGTTCTGATGCTGCACTGGGATATGTGAGTGTCCCTGTCTTGTTAATTAAAGGTATTGTGGAAGATTTCGCGATTTTTTTTTAAAGACCCGCCCTCTTGATTTAAAAAAAAATGCACGTGCGAGATCATGCAGGAGCCCATTTCTCCTTGGGCACACTCTGTTTAGTTGCTGTTCTCATAGCTCATAAAAGCTTACTGTGCCCGAAAGTCCGCCCTAACCCCTAAATCCCTCAATCAGTATATAGAGTGGGGACTATATAGTGGACTTTATAGTGAACTCAGTTAACTGATCATTCGAACAGATGATCACTACTTTTTGCTCCCCGTTGGTCACGTAAATCCTCCTCCACTGCGCGGTGCCTGCACCATCTTTGTTATTAGATGCATCGGTTGGGTAGGGACAGCGTACCACTGTGACAGCAATTCCCATAATTCTTTGCAAGGAGAGCTCTCCACGCAAAGCATTCTGCGATATATTTGACTCTTCTGAGGCCTTTCTTTTCTTCTCATACAGTTCATAGACACATTTTCTTTTACAACCCTCTGCTATTTTCAAAGAACCACAGAGGGAAAGGTGAGCTTCAATGACTCTGAAACTCTAAAGGAGCACACGTGCAGAAAAAGATAGCTAACGGGATGAGCACGTAGGACAGCCTTACGTAAAAATATCACCAGAATGATTGACAATCAGGAGGACCACTTATTTAGATGATCCACCAGGAAATAAAAGATTGTCCTATATACCTTTAAGCAATGAAACTCCTGTCACTAGTCAGCCTTGTCAATGTGATTTCTTAGCTCTGGTTCATCTAAAGACAGAAAGCAGAAACAACAGGAAACTGACCTAAGAGCTTCATTTTCTATTCTAAGCTTTGATGCTTTTATCAGGAGCAAAAATCAATGTGTATGTGGTGCTGAAAATCCATGTTTATGTTGTTGATGTTGTCAAAAACTTGACAAGGTTTTTCAAAGTAGGATATCGTTCCATTGATCAGTTTTAGGTCAGAACCAAAGGAAAAATGATTTTAATAACTTTTTTTTTTATTTGAATAGAAAAATGCTGCTGAAAACACACTCTATAGTTTATTGTTGGTTTAAGGTTTTATGAAAAAGGTTTTTTGTTAAAACTGCATCTGTGTTTCATAATTTTATGCATCTTGCATTCGGAGCAGCAACAGAATGCATTGAAAAGTTTGCCACTGCTTGCTCAGATTTTTATGCTAGCTTTACAAGCACTGCCAGAATGATTGAGGTAAAAAAATAAATACATAAATAGAAAGTAGAAATCAAAAAGCCACTGAGAAACACTGCTCTAATTTAAAATGTAATATACTTTGAAGAAAACACTTAAATTGGCAAAAGGATGAAGTCCAGAATCTTTTTTTTTCCATAGCAATTATTTTTTTGCAAATCTTCAAAATCTTCAAAATATAAAAATATAATCGCTCTCAAGTTTTTCAAAAACAACGCTTACGTTTTTTTACAGTGCAGCGAAACATCAAGACATGTATGTTACATTGCTGTAGTAACAAAATGAGTCACAAAGGATTTAATACTTATGCTACATACAAATGTCTGAAATATATATATATAAAAAAACCTTTGCAAGATTTGTAGTAGATTTTCCATCCAGCATTTCTCATTACACAGTTTGAAATCCTAGCAGGGCTGCTTACACAAAGGAGCCATTCACAGGGCTTTGTGCGTGACTTATGAGCATGCACTAACGCACGCTCTCAAACACACACAAAGATCTACGCACAGCTTTCAGTCAGTCTAAAATTTCACCAAACTTGAATTGCCCCAAAACCCAACAGTGGCCGCGTAAAAAGTGGTTCTCATGTTACACACTCACCCAAAATAGACGTTAAGTACATATTGGAGACATCTCATGACGTAAATTATAGTTTAGACTGGTCACACACGTTAGAGTGTGCAAATACACACAAAGACACTCTTTCACTGTATGTAATACAGACTGATGCATTAAGGAGAAAACAACTAAAGTTTTAAAAGATGGTGTTTTTTAATGCAAATTCAAATTGCTTAGGTTTCTGAAATTTTATTAGTAGGGTATCAAAGTAAAACTAAGAGAGATAATTTACATATAGAAATAACTGTTTCAAGCAAATTATATTTAGGACGTTCAATCCTTATTTCACACCACACATGTTTAAGTTTACAATAAGCAAAAAACTAAGCCACAAAGTCTTCTAGGTTTTCCAAATGAAGAATATTGTTCTCAGTACTGATAAATGAAAACCTCATTTATCACTTCCTGGAATTAGGGGAGAGTGAGAAAATCTTTACAGGATGTTCACAAAGAGCACTAGTTTGTAGAAAAAGTAATCGGTGTAAAGGAAACAGGCGCTAGGACTTGTGGCGCTAGTGGGCCGAGCAATCAAAACAATCCCTCTATGTTCTGATTGAAGAGAAAAGGATTGACGCCAGACTCTTCAACACGCTTCGTCTGAGAGAGAGAGTGGGTGGGGTGAGAAGGAAGAAACAACAGATATACAAAATGATAGGGAATGAAGTGGAGATGGACAGTAAATAGAGAAACCCTTCTATTTAACTTCCATCCTGTCATTCTCTTTCTCTTTTTTCCCCATTCTGACCAGTCTCTCTTTATTGTATTTTTTATATTCCAGTAAAACTTTCTTGGCTTTTTCAGGCCTCTTCTACCACTGATGTTTAATATATTACAGTTGTAGAGAAAGTACATGGGAATTTCCCACACCGTAGTACTATCAGACCCAGCCTCCACCACCCACGCTACCTCACTGCCTCTCCCTCGACTCCTTCTGTGCTGTCAGAGGGGAGTCTTGAGGAAAACCACCCATATTCCAACACAGACTATTCTGGATGGCTGCCGGGATTTTTTTTCCCTCAAGCCCACAAACTTGAGCTCCATGTCAGAAAAGTCGAAGAGTAGAGAGATATTTCTCCACTTTGGAAAAAAAGCCTATTGCAAAATTTTAAAAGCAATAATAAAGGAAGTTCAGCTTTTCAAACATAAATAGTAAAGGGCATGTACTCACAATATTAAAGTGTTTTTTCTAGTCAGAGGACTACATTTAATCATTCACACAATCATACATGATTGTGGTAAGCTACACTGTAGCCACAGCTGCCCTTGGGCATTCTGATATAATCATTGGATGAAGTGTTGCACAGACGGACAAAGCTGGGGTTTGAAGCAATAATCCTACAGTTGCAGGACTGCCACTGTCATATGCCAAAGTCACAAACATTTGTTCCCTGAAGGCTATCAATCCATGTGTTTAAGCCAAATCTCAAACATAAAAAGCCAAAAAAACCTTAAAAGCATTATTTTACCATTAAAGATGAATTTACGTCAAACTCACCTCAAGCTCATCTGTTTTACTTTTTATGGAGTCTCCATAGATGCACTTTGGCAAATTCCAAACATGTCTGACACTTTTACCATTTCATCAATATCCAAACAATAGTTTGAATAACTCAAAGTTACATTTAAAAAAACTACTTGGACATTTTATAGGAAGCAACTCCACATTGTCCCCTTCTTATAGAACACTGTTACAGATGTGTGCAAAGTAGTTAGCACTGTGCTAATATGAATTTCATCCTGTTCAACTCAAGAGTACAATTACAATCACACAGCTCAAAGGATACGCTCACACTGCAGGCCTTAATGCCCAATTCCGATTTTTTTGCGAAATCCGACTTTTTTTGTGTTGCTGTTTCACATTTCCAAATATATGCGACTTGTGTGAGATCTCCTGTGTGAACTGCTTAAGTGTCCCGCAAGCAGTAAAGGACGCAATGATGCAAGATGCTAAAATAAAAAAAAATGGTCTCCGCATAATCGTTGGCCATACTTGTTGTTTTTCTTCCCACTTTTATATATATATAAAATATAAAAATAAAAACATAAAACTTCTACTACTTTATAGTAGAAGTGGTCACACAATGTGCACCTTAAAAAAGTGTATAAAAAAAAACCGATAGGAAAATAAACCAATAAATGCTGTATTGTACAGTGTTTTACAATAGTACTATATAATGCTATATTATAAAACTCTGTATCTGGAGAATAAAAAAATCAGTAACAGCTGTGGACATTTCACAGTAATGGATATGTGAAAAATAGAGATGTGCAAAAAAAAAAAAAAAAAAGACCTCTATTTGTGAATATCAGGTGTACAGATAAAGAATTGTTAACTAGAAATTAAAAACTATTAAAAATGCACCTATCAAATTCTGCCCAAATGAGCAGAACAGGCTTTTATGGGCTGTGATTTACCTCTGCAGCCTGTGTCTCCTGGTGCAGCAGAGTCAGTCCTGTCAGGTCTTCCAGAAATGAGTGGGAGGAATTAAAAACCTGGGAGAGAAAGCTGAAACCTTCCCTCTCATAGTGGTCCAGGACCTGCATAAAAAGAGGAAAAATACAAGGAAAGCATTTAAAGGCAGTTTAATGTGATATAAACTCTGCTATGTAGGGAGTAAAGCTTTGACTGCTTCAAAGTATTTTCATTTAACTTCAATGTCTTACACTTTTATTTATCATAGAAATAAAAAAAAAAGAAATAAAGGTAGGCTACTAAATAGCATACCTTAAACTAGAGGTGCAAAATACATTGAATGAAAAACACTAGAATTTCAATGTTTGCAATGTTGTAATTACAAAAAACTCCTTCAATAGAATAGATTAGAATAGCTTTATTTGGACACCATATTTGGTAGCCTACTATTTTTTAAATACAATGCATTAATAAAAGAATGCCAGTAACACAATTCACCACTTGAATTTATTTTCACTGACTAAGCATTAAACCTTTTTTTTAACCAAAGGGTATCAAAGTGGATGTTCTTCATAAGTTTGAGCTTATCATTTCAACCCAAACAATGAAATTGAACCTCATTTAGTCCCGTGCATTAGCCTCATACAATGAAATAACATAAAAAATATAGAAAAACATCAATTATAAGTAAAACTTGAATGGTTTTTAGATTGCGTTGCTTGTAGATTTAGATACAAATGTCAATTATGAGAGGATATTACGTTTCTCACTGGGAATGAAATGGTGGTGGACATGGTGTACAAAGTGGAGAAAGATGGTGGAAAACCAGTAGCTTTTGTTAGTAGTAGTTTACAGTATTTCTTTGGTCATTATAAACATTATAAACACTTGGAAAACATGTTACAAATTTTTGGAAGTTCTTGTACATGATACAATAGGAGAATTCCTTTAAGAATAGCAAGTGCCTTATCCAGGCATGAACAAAGTCTGTCCCCGAGGGTCACTGTCCTGAAGGTTTAAGATCAGGATTGCTGATTAACAGGCTTTTGTTGAACTCAATCATCAGAATCACCTGTGCTGAAGCAGGGAAACCTCTAAAACCTGCAAGACAGCGGCCTTCGAGGACTGAGCTTTGGCATGTCTGATAAAATGATGCCCGACCGAAAGGGTTTAGGCTGAAGTCGACACTTATAACGCCTAACCCCACTTACAAATGCAACACTATGCCCAAAAATGGCATCATCACTTGCTCTACCAATGACGGTAATATAAATGCACATAAACTTAAACTTACACGAACAAAATTATGCTATGCATCAAAGTTAACTTATTTTTATAACCTTTATTAAAGTGTTGTATACTTTTCCATAATATTTGACTTTTAGATTAATGTAATGCTTAAACATGTCACCAATGGAAGAAGCCAAAGGGAACTAATGGTCAAAGATTGTTCTGCCCTAGGAGAATAATTTTTGGACCTCTGCACAGAGCTGGCCTTAGCCCTATAGAGGGACACCACGACGAATCTTGGCGCTGCACTCCTCAGTTTCTACTTGTTAAGCAATGAAACAATCTAAATAACTCTGTATGTCTGGTCTGCTTGTAGATAACATGTCAGTTAAGATTATTTATATACTGGATAGGACACCACATGACTATGCTGAGTTATGGCTATTTGTTAAAACTGCAATGCGCATTCCCCGCACTAGCTCTGTTTACATGCACAAAATTTCCCAATCAGATTGAAATGTAAAACGGCTCTAATTTGTAAATAGTATTGTTATTGTAATATTTAACAATAACATTACGATGACAGATTTGTCTAATATTGTGCAGCACCACTCTAGGAAAACACAAAAGTCAAAACATGGCAACAAAAAATTTAAAAGAAATAAATGATTTATGAACTCATAGGTCTTCAAGTAATGTTGTTCTGGCACTCTTTGTGTCGAGCATATAAGACAAAATCATTATGATGCAAAAGCATGGATTAACAGGGTGTAATCAAAATGAAATTAAAATCAAATAATTTTTTTTTTTCATCTGCTGAACCTCTGAAACACACCAGCTAACACCTCCACAGCCATACCGATGTGTTTATCTTGATGTCCCAACAGGACTTCAAATCCCCACACCACTGCCTGGTACACACAGACCCACACACAAACATCCTCTGCCTTTGCGACTTCCTCCCAAAGATTGGATGAGCCTTTCATGAACATTACGAAGCCTCTTCTGCAGGTGTAGAGTTACTACTGCTTCAGACATCTGCACACTGCACTCAGCACTGCCTTTGTATGTTAGTCCATGTGTGTATAAACGTTTGTCTGTTTTGCAGACTCGACCTGGCGTCTGGTCCTGGTGCCAGACACACCACCCACAATACACAGTGATGTTCCCGCCATTCACCTTTTCAGCCTCCCTTTTCTTTTCTTCATCTTTCATTTTTTTGATTCTCCATTTCCATCCACAGGTTCGGCTACACGACACTCCAAAAAAACAATGTTGTTAAAATGTCCCTGATGAAGCCACAGATAGCAACCTGACTCCCATTGAGGATCTGGTCATTTAGTCATTGCAAACATCCTTGAATCAAACGCTACCTTTGAAATGCATCAAAGAAGAAAATATATTTGATATCTAGAGAGACAAAAACGATAAAGCAAAGTTAGGGACTGAGGAGGAAAGATCCAATTTGGAACCAATTTAATATTAACTGTTGGCAGAACATCAACCAGTCAGTCATAGAATTAAGTGGATATCTAAAAACAAAGAAAATGCCTTCTAGATGCATTTAAGGGTATGACCTACCATAATACGGTGTTTGATGATTATATTTTGTGGTTGCATGAAAGGTTTTTCTGTGCACCTGCATGTGAGATGTCCTACACACAAGGAAATATGACTCATCCACCCCCAGGTTCCCAAACTGGGCCAGTCTGACAACTTTACTCCCCACAAGCCAAGCACAATTTTATTCCGCATGCTGTTACATCAATTAGCCTCAACAATGTTTTAACTTCAGAGTAAATCTGCTCTGGTATAGACAGTAAACTAGTCAAGTACAAGGAATAGTGTTGTTTATGTTTCCCTGTTTCTGTTAAAAGTCGCTAATCTGCAGTTACTACAAATGATTAGGAGGTGATTGATGTATGCTGATATAAAAGAAGCTTTAATCAATACCAAGTGTATAGAATGAAAAAAATGTCTCAATACATCTCAAAAAAGAGGTGTCACCTGACCAGCTGCACCATCCACTAATTCTTAAACAGTGACTAAATTAGATCCATGAGAAATCTCACAGATAAATGTAGAGATATTTTGCAGAGACTGGCAATGATTTCATCTTCTAGATGTGTAAACCTTATGGAGACTGAAAATCCTTTCAAATGTAATTTAATCGTATTTCTTTACAAAAGGTAATTTCATGTAACATTTTTATTAAACTCTAGGTATGCACCAGTATGTTGGTCTGTTAAATAAAATCCCAATAAAGAAAACAGCGTCCAAATCTTTCTCAAATGTCCTGATTGGTGGATTTATCATCAAATTAATGAAAATTAGATCAATTTAGCCCTACAGAAGCCTTTGATTTTTTATAAACCTCAATTTAGAAAGATACTTTTCTTTCTGTCTTGTTTATTAAAAAGCAAAAGTTATACTAAGTCATTAATAATGTGTAGAGAAGAGATATTTAGAGAAAATTTTAAATCAATGTACGAAAAAAGTTTCCCATTTATAGTGGCGGCACATTTTGTTGTGTGTCCAAGTAGCTGTAGTAAGAGGTGTCTGGCATGGTTTTAGACAATGCCACGTCAGCTGTGATTTACTCTTTGGCGTGTAGTTTTATTGGCTTCCAGCCCCACAAGAGTTAGAAAACACATACACCCTCACACACACAAACAGAGTGAAAAGCCCCAACTCTACAGGAACCGCTCCAGCCCAGACAGAGGCTGAATTGTTTTGTTTCCATAGTGACCTGGCAGCACACAGCTGACTGCAGCAGAAATACACACACAAATCCAGAGGGAAGACAAAGACCGAAACACACACCAGCGCCATTAAAGGGAGCACACCGATATATGGGCACAGGGATACACAAAAGAGTGGAGAGATATGAGGGGGGGTTCAGGAAGCGAGGAGAAGGAAGAAGCTGAACTGAAACTGGAGTAGCTTGAAAAGAAAAGAGTGAAGGGCAGATAAGCAAATGCAAAACAGAGAAGCTAAAGATGTGTTGGTCGGATTAAAACCTATTTAATTCACAACCTTTATCCCTGCCTAACCAACATGTGTTCTCTCTCTCTCATGTCCATTATTCCTGCCTACACAGCCTTTACCCATCAGACCATGTGAGCAGCTCTGTGCACACCAAATCATTTCATCAGTCACACGGACAGAAATATGACACCTTAAGATGGGCTGGAAAACCATCCTTTTTTTTTTTTTCTCCACAAACCAAAGCGTAGGTGGAGAGAAGTTTCAGAGCTGAAGCTAGCAAACTCCCTGCCCCCCTCCGTCTCTTAGTTTCTCTCTGTCCTCACATGAAAGTGATAGATCTGGGGCTTTATGACCTCTTTATCGACACAAAGAGCGCATTCAGATTGGGGGAGAGAATAAGGGAGAACCAGCCCTCTACTCATCACAACACCCTTTTTTTCACTACTACATTTCCTCTGCTTGTAACCCCCTCCGTACTGACCCCCCACCTACGCAACCACCCACCTATCAGTCTCCTCTGGCTTCTTTTTAAACTACCCCTCTCTGTAAATCGAAAATCCTTCTTTAGGGCTCTCACTTTTTTACAACTCACCACATAAACCAAAAGTAAAGCAGTAAAAAGCATGAAAGGGTAATTTTTCCCACCCCTATTTGGCAGATTGAGACTATCTAGAGTCTTCTACAACCCATCTACACACACTCACTTATACACACTCGTGAACACACAGCAATGGTGAGAGCGTACGACACTTTCTGACATCAGTGAGCAACTGCTGCCTGATTGTTACCAGATGGTTTAACCAGCTTTCCTGTGTGCGTCTCTTTAGTATTCCTCTAGGAACAACATTTCAACACAGCTACACTGACAATATGAAAATGGGAGAGCTGGGAATCCCCTCAATTTCTGCTTTGACTGCAATTAGTGTTTCAAAACAGTTGTCACATAGTAACACAACATGATCTGATAAGAAATCAGAATCTATACATCTTCATTACTTTTTAAGCCTTTCCGACAAACGACTTCACGGTTTGAGCTGGAGAAAAGACAAACTGTCACTTACAACTGGTGAGCAGGCAGTGCATTTATCGAAGGCCAGGCTGGCAGGCAGGACGTTGTCAAACCTTGACAGAAATCCTCGGATCTGTAAAGAATAATAAAAGAAAATACCAACAAGTCAATAAATGTTCTAAAAAACAAACAAACAAAAAAAAAAGGTTATAGAGTTTGTAAGAAACCTTCCTGATGTCAAATCTGGGAACCCCCTTCACCTTTAATATAATTTCTTGCATTTAGTAGAAAAAAAAACTAGTGGTGACTTTATAAAGAAACTTTGAGACTCTGTCTTGGGCTTAATAGCAAAGAAGAGAGCTCCCTCTGGAGGTGAAAAGGTAGATGGCAACATTTTTTAACTATTACTGTTTTCCTTTCTCACTCTACTATGGGTATTCATCTTTATTACTGTGCAAAGCAGCAGTTTCCAAAGTTGTCTTTATACACCTTTAGTATAAGCACAACAAAAGCTGTGTCCTGAGATCCTCTTGTAAAAATCAAAGCAAATAAAATGGTTATGGTAAAGCAACCAACACATTTAGGAAAGGATTAAATAAACAGCCCTGTATATTAGCTGTAATGCAGCTTGTTCTGGAAGGAGCCTCATTCTTAAGAACATGTCTAAAACACTTAGAAGGGATACTCAGCTATGGAAAAGGTCAACATCAAAATTACTTTTGTTATTATAAAAAAAGAAAATAAAAAAAATATATATTTTTTAACATAATTAATGAGCAATTTAATGTCTTTAAATTGACAGCATTAAATAAACAAAAATAAAATGACATAAAATGAAATTTTTCTAGATATGTTTTTGATTTTCTATCATGAATTCGGTTTTCTATGATGAATAAACCAACCCAGAGCTATGTATGTGAAATCCTAACTTTCACTCTTGGAGAACAATAAATTAGTTTGGATTAACACCATTTTATTTGACTTGCCACATTAAGACATTAGTAAAGGGTGAACCTGTATGAAAACTTGCGGCAGGTTAAAAAAAATCCCAGAAAAAAACACATCATGTCTTAATGTTAGGAACAGATAAGAAATGAATTCTTTCACATCCATCAGTCTGAAATGGTTTTAAAAAAGCCTTTAGAAATCCTAGTTGGAGCCTTTACTTTAAAACAGAGAAAAAGCATAATTAAAGTTTTTACTACAATCTTTATAAGATCCTGGCATGATCTTAAACAAGTCACCAATGCTTGAAAACCCATGTTTTACAACCATTTTTCTAATATTAAAATAATTAGATGCACATCTCACAACTGTCTCTTAATAACACCAAGGCCACTGGGCATCTCTTATTTCTAAAAATGTATCCACCCTTTCAGAGTTACAGTAGCAACATTTGTGGAAATTAAAAGCCTATAATTGTGTATTAGGTATTCTTTTCATTTATTTCCTATTTCTTAAAGATACAAACCTTCACAAACTGCTACATTGCTTTATACTGTACATATAGGCATGTTTGCTTATAATTTCTGTTCTATTTATCCCCTTCCCTAAGCAAACATTGCTTAACATGCTGCAATCATTGGGTTTGAGGGCTGGATAGAAAAATGAGTGAAGATGCAGTAAAATGAAGCAGAAGAAAAGGCTTTAGAGCACTTAAGTTAGAGTACCCTGGTTTCTTGGAAGCAGAAGAATAAGACCAGTTTAACCCCTTTAAATCTCCTAATAAAGAAAATGTTATATAACCTCATACTGGAGGTCGAATTGAGTTGAAGAATGTGAAGATGTACATACGTTCTGAGCCACATTTTGTATTTTATGTTTCCAATTACCATTTCTACGATACATAAAGAAGCATCAGCTTACCACATCTGAATAATACCCTCATTTCTACTTCATTTCTTGTCTTTTATAACTGTTCATCTCTGTTCTTTTGTGTAGCACTGGCATATTCAGTGGAAGAGTAATGAAAAAATAGATGGGCAGACTATTAATTTGACTGCAATAACAATCAGAGTAATTTGGTGTTAATATAAGATGGGATGATGCAAAGCACAAAAGTCCAATAGGTCAGAGTGGTAGACGAATGGGTGGAATAGGAATAAAAGGATATAAACTTGCAGAGCCTTTAAAGACACCATGTATTGGATACACATCACTATGCATAAAGAAAGTTAACTACAGACTTTCCCAGAGTACTCTAACGATTTGAAGTATTTTTTTTAAAGATTTAGCATACTTATTCGGATTTCCTGTTACGGATCAACAGGCAGTGCAGAAATGTGAAATGGGAATAAAACAGAAAAGCCTGGATTAGATTTGCATTCAAGCCCTTTTGTGTCACTATTGTTTTATGTATTCTTAGATCTGGACTTTTGGGTAATACTAACACGAAAATATGTTTTAATCCAAATCATTCTATTGAACATCTAAGATCAGAACAGCTGGGTTCAAAACAAGAGTTTCTATTTTAAATTCACTTAAAGGCATTGTTATTATTTCTTTTATTTCACAATATGTTATATTTCCTGGTGGCCTGTCACATTAAACCTCAATAAAAACATTAAAGTTTGATGTTGTGGCTTCATAAAATGTAAACAGCTTCTAGAGGTATAAATACCTTGTAACCGAGCCATATCAGGCCAAATTACCTATTTAGGTTCAATAACAAAAAAAAAAAAAAGTTAAAGAAGTTTTAGTACTTCTATATGTTTGTTAATATAAACCTGCAGTATTCAATGTAGAAAATTAGACCCAAAATCAGAAGCCTATGAGCGGAAGACTCAGAGTTTCTTTTCAGAATCCATGGTTAAGCAATAACACAAAAAAGAACAAAAAAATAATGTGTATTAAGTTTAATCTTCTGATAAGATTTTCATTAATTATTTAATTACAGACTTCAATTGAACAAAACTGATAAAACCTTAGATGTTATTTTCATTTGTTACAAATGTTAGATGGGCTTCTAATGTGGTTTATTTGAAGTAATTTAAATCTTTTTTCTGTACGGATTTCTCATTTGTAAAGATGACCTTTATTAAACTTAACATGGAAAGAAATATTCCTCAATGCAACTGCTGAGATGGAGAATAAAACATTAATGAACTTTAAGGGAGATTGCACTTACTTAAAAGTTCCCCCTGTACCTAAATAAGCTCTAAAATAACAGTAGAAAAATTATCAAAGCAAGTGTAAAGTAAATATTTGACACTTGAGATATGAAATGGGATTTTGATTTCTTAAATCACCACAAGCTGTCGCTGTGGTACCACTGAAAAAGAGCAAGCAGCATCAGCCTCAATATTCCCAGCATGTCAGGTTTAATATATATTATAATACTCAAGAATTACTCAGCGATGTTCTCAGACATATTATTTTTTTGGCACCTCTCCCCCCCTGTCTGCACACACACACACACACACACACACACACACAGAAGCATTTGCAGGCCATTTTCCTACAGGTGATTTGGCAGAAAAATCCTCAGCAGCAAAAGTGTCAAGCAAATGGCACGGATTCATATTCTCAGGATGATGAATAATGACGATGATGCAAATGGAGGTGGTGAGACGCAGCACCCTGTTAGCCAAGAACATAGTTTGGACGGCTTTAAATCATCTAATCTTCCTCTGTTTAGTGAGTCACCACAGATCTGAGCTTTTAATCAGGATTTCAGCCAATTTTCAGGATCTTTTAAATTAATAAAAGTGTTTTTGGTTTGTTTTGCTAAACTGTATGATTATTAAGTTTATATTAATGTAAAATAAAAACTAACAACAAATAAAAACACTTTAGGGTTATTAGATAATTCTTTGTCTGCTATCCATAAACCTAATTAATTTAAACTTATCTTAAATTTTAGGACTTTTTCATTCTCCGAGACAAAACACAAGCAATACACTATATTGTATCTGAGTAGACCAAAGCAAATCAGAGAATGTGTGTAAATATTCTGAGAAGCAAAGTCACTTTAAATCTCCTTCCCATAATGTCTAATTTGGTTCCTTTGATTCTGTTCATTAATAGAGCCTCCACAGCCTCCAATATGCATGTATAAATCTAAATCAACTCAGACACTCTAGCTCTAGAAGGGAAGAAGTGCTAGCATTAGAGCGAAAACTGAAGCAAAAATTTGATAAGTCATAAAGATTACGTTTGATGAGTGGTTTTTACTTGAAAGTCCTCTCTTGATTCAGACTCACAGATAAAGGCTGATCATTTGAAGGACAAACTGTGTTCAGAGACACTCTGGCAGACATGTATAGAGTGGCACTGAAAAAGCAGCCATTTCAAATTGAACATTTAAAGTAGGCAATTTGAAATCAAAGCTTTTTCTAATTACACTTTTTAAATTGGATTATTAAAGAGAATTCTAAAATTTATTAATGAATCTATTATTATATATTGGAGTTTGAAAATGTATTTTCAAATCCTATTTCTAAATAAAAAAAATATATAAATCTGATTATAAATACCTTTCCTAATCTTTTGCAAATTGGATTTTCGTTTTGCTTGACCTTCTCCATTTACCTTTTCTGTTCCCAGAGCTCTCTGGAAACACTGCCACACTTCCTTGACAAAATAACCAATAAGGAAGCTAGTTACATCTGAGGAGTAATTATGATGTGTTATTGGTTGTTTAATAAAGGATTAATAAACACAATTTACTATTCCTCTTTAATATTTCAATTAAAAATGGACAATTAGAAAACACTTTTATAATTGGATTTCAAATTGCATGATGAATTGTTAAATTTGAAATGTCTGGTTTTCCTTTTTTAATGACTCTGTGGGTTCTCCATAGACTGGGGTTCTTGTAAATTCAAGCGATGAACAAACCCAAGGTTATTACAGAGTAGCTGAGTGGTGAACTGCAAAGGAAAAAAAAATAAAATAAAAGCTTAGAGGACCTTACTCACAGTCCTTGGATGTTAGCTGTGTATGATGAGGTCTATTATTGTTTAGTTAAACAAGGTTGTGTGGAGAAAGGCTTTACTTTCATAAAAGAGCATAACAGCTTGACTGAGGCTAATAAAACCCCCAAGAAAAAAAGAAACACATAGGAGAAAAACAAACTAAATGACATAACCTCAAAAGACATACTACTATCTACAAGGCTTAGTGATGGAAGTG